GCTTCTACCTAGATAAAAAACTTGGATGAATAAAGAGTTAGCTATGAAAAAAATATGTAACGTGAGTGTTGAATGACAATAATAAATGAATAAAATGCAGCAAAACTAATATATTAATTAATTACAAAATTAACGTAATTTAACAATTCGGGAAGAGATGTATAGAAGAGTAGAGGTACACTGTGCACAGTACGGAAGGGGAATATGTAGAGGACGGAAGTATACTGTACACTTATATAGAATACGGCAAGGAGAATATGCAGAGGACGGAGGTATACTGTACACTTATATACAATACGGCAAGGGGAATATGTAGAGGACGGAGGTATACTGTACTCTTATATACAATACGGCAAGGGGAATATGTAGAGGACGGAGGTATACTGTACACTTATATACAATACGGCAAGGGGAATATGTAGAGGACGGAGGTATACTGTACACTTATATACAATACGGCAAGGGGAATATGTAGAGGACGGAGGTATACTGTACACATATACAATACCGCAAGAGGAATATGTAGAGGACGGAGGTATACTGTACACTTATATACAATACCGCAAGGGGAATATGCAGAGGACGGAGGTATACTGTACACTTATATACAATACGGCAAGGGAAATATGTAGAGGACGGAGGTATACTGTACACTTATATACAATACGGCAAGGGGAATATGTAGAGGACGGAGGTATACTGTACACATATACAATACCGCAAGAGGAATATGTAGAGGACGGAGGTATACTGTACACTTATATACAATACCGCAAAGGGAATATGTTCAGGAGAAGAAATCAAATGAGAAAAGAAAATTAAAAATGATATTCTAAATGCAGCATGTTAATTATACAAAGGTTTTTCTCTACATTTTCGTTCTTTGCATAGGATTTGAGTTTTAAAGAAAGCAATTTTACAGGCCATCGTAAATGTTTATGCAGGTTATTTAAAAGAAAACTTCATCTCTTAGATCTTCTTACCATTACTTTCATTTCCATTTATTTTGATTTATGATTAATAGATTGAACTGCATCTATTTTTGGATGGTTGAAAGATTGCAGTTCTCACCCTCTATACTTATCTACAGCATTTGACACAATAGTCCATGATGTTACTTCACCGTTACCAGTATGTATTTAAAATACGCAATGCAACCTTAATACATATCATGTCATACTTAGTCGAAATGATTGGGTACACAATATAACAGCAGAGCTTGTTAAAGCAGGAGGAGGGGGCCCCGAGTGGCGGAGTGGTCTAAAGCGCAGTCCGTTACGGATCACTGCCATCTAACCTCTGTCTGCGTGTGTTCGAGTCTAGGATTCGGCGAATGTGGATATGTGAGAAAGCTTGCCAGTAGCTTCTCGTGGGTCGGTGGTTCTTTCCGGTGATTTCCCGGTTTTTTCCTCCACCATTAATACTGGCCGCCATGAATAGCCTATCGTGTGCTGAAAAATGGCGTTAAGCCCAACAACAACAACAACAACAACAATAAAGCAGGAGGAAACTCTATGACAGATGTCTTTACAAAATCTGGCAAACAGGATAATAATCTACCCAATGAGCCCAGTCCTATATCATACCTATTCCTAAGAAAGAGAGCATATATCTGTGCCAACTACAGAACAAATAACATCATCAGTCACATAAGCAAGGTTATGCTTAAGATAATCATCAACAGAATAAACAGGATGAAATTAAAGAACTGGCAGGTTTGAGACCAGGACGTAGTACCATAGAACAGATCTTCAACAGGTCATGACATGAGGCAAAACGCAAAACTATTGAGCAGTAAAGAAAACATGTATGACAATGCCTCTAGGGCAGATCTTGTAAATGGCAACATAAGAGATTGTTTCAGAACCACATCCGAAATCGGACAGGAGTGCCTTCTCTCACCCACTTCCTACAACATCTATTTGTAAAGGACCATACCACATTCATTGGAAGACCATAATGGTAGTTTCAGTGATGGAGGCAGACCAGTCACAAACCTGCGTTTCGCTGATGATATCGATGGCGTATTAGGAGATTTGCAAGAACTGGAAACTTTAACGAACCGTCTCAACAAAAATTCACTAAGACAAGGGGTATATATCAGCGCTGAAAAGACCAAGCTTTGGACAAACAACATGAATGACATACAAAAGGAAAGAAGAGTGATAGGAAGGGTAAACAAGGCATACAGACTAAGAGTTGGGTATATACCATCAAAGAATCTACATGCAGGGACTATGCAAAATCACAGAGAACATAGAGAACAAAGTGGAGAGAGAGAGAGAGAGAGAGAGAGAGAGAGAGAGAGAGAGAGAGAGAGAGAGAGAGAGAGAGAGAGAGAGAGAGAGAGAGAGAGAGAGAGAGAGAGAGAGAGATTCTGACTCTGACTCTGTCGGTAAATCATCAGTGGTACTTCAACAACATGCGGCTAAGTCCGATGAACATGTGTACAATTATTGTGTAGGAGAAGCCCACAACGTCGCTATGGATAGATATTCTGCGAGATATAACCATGACTGAATAACGGACAAGGAACTAGAATACGGAAACATCCAGTCTGCAATTGTGACAAATCATATGAAAAAGATGGGGCTTAAAATTCACCGTACCACTGTCCCCTGATCCTGAATCAGGAATGTTCATCATATCATAGAGACTGTCCTCTGATTCTGAGCCAGGAATAACGTTCAAAGCACTATGGTGATAACGGAAGAGAAGATATTAAATAAATCTTATCTTTTCTTATCCCTCTTTGATTACTGCCTTTATTTCATAGAGCCACGAGCATCACACCCAGTCACTTGTTAAGCTACCTTGAAAACACGGCGAACTAAGTCATCTAAATCTAGTTACACGTAAATCTCTTGGAGGTTTCAGACTAAACTTTAAATGAATTAGCATGATTTGATTTGATGTTAATCTTCCAACTTATCTTACTAAAAACGTTCCTTTGGTGCTGAATAGCTAAATCTATCAGAAAGGTCAGCAACTCTCAAAATATTTCTCAGTTACGTGTTTCAAACAAATTCTGCAAGAATTAAAGTGTTTTGTTGACAATGAAAATCACACTGACGTTTGGTGAATTTAATTTAATTATATTTCAGTCCTTTTATTAATACCAAAAGGATTTGTTCAATTGATACGAAACCCTTGTTCTGTGGTATGTTTACTTTGATAAAACAAGCATTGTTTGTGCCGTGTTCACTTTGATACGAAAACCTTGTTCTGTACTGTGTTCACTTGATACTACCACACTTGTTTTGTGCCGTGTTCACTTTGATACGAAAACCCTTGTTCTGTACTGTGTTCACTTGATACTACCACACTTATTTTGTGCCGTGTTCACTTTGATACGAAAACCCTTGTTCTGTACTGTGTTCACTTGATACTACCACACTTGTTCTGTGCTGTGTTCACTTTGATACGACAACCCTTGTTCTGTATTGTGTTCACTTGATAAACCACTATGGTTCTGTGCTATGTTCATTTTGATATTACAACAGTTGTTCACTTGATACGAAACTATAGTTCTGTGATATGTTCACTTTACTAAAACAACCCTTGTTCTGTACTATGTTCACTTTGATAGACAACGATTATTTATGTCATTTTCTTTGTTTTTTTATGAGCGCCTAATTCTAATTAAAATCTGTACAGTATCGTATTTTGCATGGTTATACTGGCTATTAAAAAAGACCTTGTATATTTTAGATATTGGCCTTTCTTCAGATGTGAACCGTTCAAAAGACTGCTAGCACCACTTGGTCATTTTCACTTCCTGGACTTCAGAGATAAATTGAAAAAAAAAGAGCTGATAACTTTTTTGACAGTTTATATATATTTGGTAATTCATCCATTGCCTTTTCAGAAGCTGGTATTTGTATAGTTGGGTAACATTTATTTTCCCAATTTTAATAGCTGCTAAAGATGGCGTACTTTAGACTACTTTAGTGTGATTTGTTTAGCACAAGGGAGCAGTCATTTTAGTTACCAGTATGCTTAGATCAAGTACAATTTCCAAAAGTACAAGATCCAAAGAAATATCAGCCAATTACAACTAAGTTAGACAAAGGTATTTACCACTGTGCATGTTTCAAATGCACACAGCTTCACCTTACATACGTCATTCTCTCAAAAGTACATAATTACTGGTGAACGTGCCAACAGCAATGTGGCGAGCAATGCTGCTATTCAAAATTTGTAAATTATGATTACCTTGCGATTAACAGATAACTTGGTACAATTAAGGATCAATTATAAATTTTAACACTGGCAATTGACATATAAGTTGTTACTATCGATGGATCGATTATAAATTTGTACATCGGCAATACAAATTATACAGCTTGGTACTATCAAGAAACTATTATAGAACCGGGCACTCTGCCGTTTTTTTTACGAGATGTTCCAAATTAAAATTGGTCCATCCTACAAATCTCTTTGACGTTTCTGAAGAAGAACATCAATCAAGGATATCAGGATAGTCGACATTTTTTTAAACAAGTTGCAAGGGTTTTATTCGATTAACTAGGACTATTGCAATGCGATGGGCAACTATTGTTTAGTGCGGCTGGATCGAGCGTACACTAAGCATTCAATAAAATTATATTAAGTTAATCCCCTTTTTCTCTCCCACATCCTACAATATTGCTTTTTTAAACAAAAACTGCACAATTTTAACTTTGATTAAGTTTTGTTTTTGCTAAGGCAGACAAAAGGATTTTGTAAAATGAAGATTTGACGGTTTGCAAAATTTTGTTTTGCGTGCTTGGATAATTTAATAATAAAATTGAGCATTACTTGATCGTGCATAATTTGGATACGATAGATTATTTAAAAAAGAATAATGTATTCGTTTGTAAGATAGATAAAGCTGCTTCCTTTCTTTTTTATTTTCTAAACAAGGTATCGTTGTAAAGCCAAACTGCACTTATCTATTACCCAGCAAGATTGTACAATCAAAGACATTTTGCTTTAACAGCCACACGACCTTTCTTGAAGACCGCTCTGGTGGCCTAGTGGTTAGAATGTCTGCCTCGGATGGAAGAGGTCGTGGGTTCGAACCCCAGCCGAGTCTTACCAAAGACTTTTAAAAATGTTACCTACAGCTGCCTCGCTTGGCGCTCAGCATAAGGAGGTTAGTGTTGGAACTGGTTGGCCTAGTGTCAGAATAATGTGACATCATAGGACATTATGTCACAGTCATATCGCTACGATGTGTGCAGTGTGACAGTTTATAGTGATGTCTAGCACTGGGTCATCATGCCGCAGACATGTGGCATGATATCCCACCAAGTCACATTATCCTGACACCAGGCCAACCAGTCCTAACACTAACCTCTTAATGCTGAGCGCCATGTGAGGCAGCTGTTAGTAACAAGTCTTTAATATTACTCGGCTGGGGTTCGAACCCACTAACTCCAGCATTTGAGACAGTCGCTCAAACCACTAGGCCACAGGATCGGTCGATTATTATTGGTAGCAGTAGTAGTAGAAGTAATAGAAGTAGTAGTAGTAGTAGCAGAAATAGTATTAGTAATAGTAGTAAAAGAGTAGTAGTAGTAGTAGCAGTAGCAGTAGAAGTAATAGTAGTAGCAGTAGAAGTAGAATTAGTAATAATAGTGGTAGTAGTAATAGTAGTAGTAGAAGTTGTAGTAGTAGTAGTAAAAATAATAATAGTAGTGGTGTGTATTAGTACTAGTAGTAGTAATTGTAGAAGTAGTATTGGTAATAATAGTAAAAATAATATATTAGTAGTGTTAGTATTAGTAGCAGTAATAATTTTAGAAGTAGAAGTAGTAGTAATAGAAGTAATAGTAGTAGCAGTAGTAGAAGTAGTAGTAATAAAAGTAATAGTACTAGTTGTGTTAGTATTAGTATTAGTAGTAATAATAGTAGTAGTAGCAGCATTAGTAGTAGTAGTAGTAGTAGTAGTACTAGTAGTACTAGAAGTACTAGTAATAGTAGTAGTAGAAGTAGTAGTAATAAAAGTAATAGTACTAGTTGTGTTAGTATAAGTATTAGTAGTAATAATAGTAGTAGTAGCAGCATTAGTCGTAGTAGTAGTACTAGAAGTACTAGTAATAGTAGTAGTAGAAGTAATAATATTAGTAGTAGAAGAGGTAGTAGTAGTAAAAGTACTGGTATATAGAAAAGTAAGGCATGTCTTTTAGGTCAAATCAAAACGTAAGGGAAATAAATTACTTCGATATATATATATATATATATATATATATATATATATATATATATATATATATATATATATATATATATATATATATATATATATATATATATATATATATACACATACACATACACACACATATGCCCATTGTTATTGCACTAGACTACGTCAGTTAACTAGACAACAAAGCTTTAAAAGACTCTTGGGGTTAATGACATAGATAAATACACATAGAACAAGAACGTCTATCTCTTATTCAAAATTTCAAGGATTTTTATTTTTAATCTCAAGATGTGGATCCGATTTTTAATGATATCAGCAATAGTAAACACACCGAGTGCGTCGATAAAATTACTGCTATTTACCGTGTTATAAGTAAACTCAATGAAGACAGTCGATATAAAGCATCTGCAAGAAACGTTCCTGAAGGTCATTTTAGGCTTGACGATGAGCCGCGAATAACAATATGACAGTTGAGATTACAAGGCACAATTGAAAAATATGAAGGTTATAAATTCCAGAGAAACACACATAAATCTCATACAAGTAGAAAGGAAAATCAATATGAATTAAAACAACAAATAACCTTTAATCATTATTCTACTCTAAAACTACACAACTTTTCTGATACCTCGTAAATAATCCGCGTACTGGTGATAAGACAATAACACGTCTGCAACTTGATATGAATATTTTTTTTACAATTATTTAATTTTCCAGTTCTGTTGACGGGACACAAGAAAATGAAAACGTTAAACTAATTCATGAAACTTCAGATAGAATGATCACTGAAGAGGAGGTTATTCTGGCATGAAGTAAATTGAAGCATGACAAAGTTTAGGGTGTATTTGCTTTATTCATCCATTTCTCTTATTGTGAAGGCAATATTATTGCACCTACAATAATAATATTATTTAACAACTATTGCATGTTGGATATTATCCAGAATATTGGTCAGGGGCTAACATAATGCTAGTGCTGAAGAAAGAGGATGCAAATAAACCATCTAATAGCAGAGGCATTCCTTTACTATTTGAAATAACCAAATTGTTTACATTGATTTTAAATAACAGGAAAAACGAATGGGTGGACCAAAGCAAATTACTAGGCAAAGAACAAACCGGATTTAAAGGGGGTAATCTACAGCAGATCATGTAGTTATAATATATACATTAATTTGTAAATATTCAAGGAAACGTAGGGGAGATTTTATGCAGAAGACTTTTAATAGAATATAGAGACAGTTTTAGTACCAAAAACTAGTTAGTGAAAGTACTAGTGGGGAAAATGTTAAGAATCATAAGAACAATTTATAAATATGTAACAACAATTTTATTACCGAAGCGTTTAATTGTCCTATGGCCTACGCCAAGGTGGTGTCTTATTGCATTTCATATTTTCTTTAGTTTTGAACGATCTGAAACCATTTCTAGCTGAAGGAAACATTAAGTTTCGGTATAAACCTCAGAACTATTTTTACTGTTGTACGCAGACGATTTCGTTGTCTTTGATGACACTTCGCACCAGTGAATATGGAAAAAAGCGAGAGGTGACTATATCAAAGTTACGAAAGGTGGTACTGTGACCCAAAAGAGACAAAGATTAAATCATAATACATGTATGTAGGATCAATATTTTCTTCAAAAAACTTTTCTCTATATGTGACAGAAAATACAAAATTTACAAGCGCTAAAGGCTGTTCGTATTTTGAAGCAATGTCTTTCAAAATTTGGCAGATCAAATGTAAATTGTTTGTTGGGTCTGTTTAGCTCGAAGACAGCTACCATCCTTAATTACGGGGTTGTAGTGATTTTATGATGTCTGGAGTTCATTTGGTAAATGCATTCTTGATACATCTAAGTCCACTCCAAATTCATTTGTATTTTAGGAAGAATTAGTACGCAGAGTACAAAATATAAACGAATTTTGAATGTTGGATTAGGAGTCTGAAAATGCCAGAAGACAGATCTTCAATACAATGTTACAATTTACTGCTAGGATTGGGTGAAAATTGTGACTGATTGGCTAACAATATTAGAAAGCTTCTATTTAGGTATGGATTTGGCAATATTTGATGTTCTCAGGGCGTAAATGATGAAAAAGATATTGTCTAGATTGTTTAGTCAGGAGATGTGAAGATATTTTTAGGCAGATGCTTTACGATGAAATTAAGTCGATGGAAAGACTGCGTTTCTATAGGTCATTGAGAATACAATTCACATGTATAAGGTATCTGGAATTGTTAAGACATACCGATTTGTGTTGCTTAGAGTAGGGAACTTGTCAAAGGTAAATCTGTAAGATATGAAAATATTTGTTATGAAGAAAGATAGTGTTAAATTTGTAACGTCAATATCAAAAATGAATTCCATTTTATTATTGTTTGTCCACTGTATGGAGAATTAAAAAGTAAATATGTAACCAACTTAGTATATAAAAATCCAGCTTTAGAAAAACCAAACGATGATATAACAATTTTGATGACTAATAGAGCAATATTTTTTTTTAATAAAGCCTTATCGATGAGAGAAACCGTTCAATCATCAACTAATATCACAAAACGACTGTTGGCTATATGCGGGCGTTATGGTTCTCATTAATCTATATTTTTTGTGGTTAATGCGTAATGTAATTTGTATTTAAGCCAAATAGAAGCAATATACAAAATGGATTACTTGCATGTATAACATTTCCAAGTGATGCTATGTTTATCTGTTACATACTTAAACTCCTTTTTCTACCGGATGATGTATGTATATGTATCATGAGCAAGTAACCTGTATTACAAATAAACAATACGACATTATTATTGTTAATAATAATAATAATAATAATAATAATAATAATAATAATAATAATAATAATAATAATAACAATAATAATAAAATATAATAATAAAGACTTTATTTAAAAAGGTTAACTTAAATAATTACAAAACAGAAGTTGAAGCTCCCAAAGATAACGTAATTATATAAGAAGATTGCAATCTATCTAACTCACACATTCATTTTCAAATACATTAGTCACATAAATATAAATTATTTTTACCCAAACTTGTAAACAGGATCATTATCAAGCCCTAGTTTACAACTAGAAAACAACTATTTAAATCTCTGTCAAAAACAAAACCTACATTCAAGGACCAAAAGTCAAACAAACAAAGATATACACAATACAGTATATATTAGTCAGGATGTACTGAAATTAAAAAAAAAGACGATAAGATACGGAGAATACTAATAATGTCGATTGTAAGTATTTTGATAGTTATTATTCATTACGTAAAATAATTTTTTGTGTGTTTGCACATGATGCTGTCAGCATTTTCACTCCTTATGGTCTAGACAGTTGTCTTTATTAAATCCAATGAAAATGATTGAAAATAGTTTTGCTCTCAACGATTATCATTATCATCGTTGTCTATGTCGTCAGATGGTAAGTAACTGGAATTACTGATTTTTTTTAAAAAAAGGATTTTTATTATAAGGATTCTTTCATTTAGACTGATTTTTAAATAATAATGTGTGCAAGCTAAACAAGAAGGTTCTCTAAAAGGGATATCTGTGTCACTGAAGAACATTTTAAACGGAATCGTTTTTTGTGTAAAAAACGTTTTTTTTGTCTGGTAGAATGCACAGCATCTGTATATGTAGATATTGTATATAATTTAATTTTTTACTAAGGAATTGAACAGAGACAATAATATATTATTGACACTGGTTTATAGTGACCGGATCGGGAAAATATTAAACTACTACAACTTCCTACTTCCATTAAAACCGCATTGTTATTTATCTGTCAAGGAGCTGTGTGCAGATCCATGTATCAAGCTGGTTATTACAATAATAATCTCGAACAGTAGTTCTGATGAAATGATTTAATATGTAACGAAGCAAAATTATGCAGGCTCAATGCACATCGTACTTAACTATATATCGTGTACTATATGGCTACAGTCATTATATGTTTAGCTTATGTTATATGAGGAGTCGTAGAACTCTGGGATATTTCAACTAATCCTTGCGCTTCTTTCAATGGTGATCTTGGCTCTTAGGACGGTATTGGCTTTCTCGAAGCGAGGGACCAATGTTTCGGGACCAACATAAACAAAGCGCATTGAGGTGATTAACTGCTGTTAAAAAAGCAAACTAAAATAGTTTTGTAATAAACGAAACTTCTCTGTCTAGGAATCTGATGATAAAGAGGTAGAGGAAGAGTATATCTGATATGTTTATTTATTTATGTATCTATTTATTCATTGTTTCGGCTTG